TTATGAGATTTGAAAAGAAATGCAAATTGAGCCCTCGCTTCATTAGACCATTCAAAATACTGGAGAGAATTGGATCTACTGCTTACCGATTGACATTGCCACCAGAGTTGGCTAACGTTCATGATGTATTTCATGTGTCCATGTTACGTAAATATCAGCATAATCCATCGTATATAATTCAGTATGAGGAGATTCCTATTGAAGAAGATATGTTCTATCAGGAAATGCCCCCATAGAAATATTAGACAAACAGAAATGAGTATTGAGGAATAAGACTATTCTGATGGTCAAGGTACTCTAGTGACATCATTCATCAGCAGAATCTATTTGGGAGACTAAAGATTCGATATGACCTCGATTTCCTCACCTATTGTAGAGATATCTCAAATTTGGAGGAAAAAAATTTTATAAGGAGGGATGAAAATTTTTATGCCTTCTCTTCATAAAGAAAAAAGTAGGTGTAATACTTTGCTCAATTATAACACACTGCTCAATTATCTTCGGTTTGTTCACTTAAAGGATATCTATGGTTACTCCTTTTCAGGTGCATGTGCACCTTAGACGACATTTGATGAAGGAATTACCTGAAACAGATGATGCTGTTGCACAATGGTGTAGAGATCAGTTTGTTGTCAAGGTAAGTTTTACTTTTTCTTCATGCTCTAGTTATATGGCTTTGCAATTATAGATGCAAAACAACTACAGTGCTCATGAGAATGAAAGCATTAATAAATATGTTCCAACGTATATTACTTCTAGTTTATTCACATATCAGTTAACATTTGATGTTTTTTGTGTCTGTTTCGGGAAATTAGGATGGATTATTGGACAAACATGCATTGGAGGATACCTTCAGTGACAAAGAATTACAGGAAATTCGTCGACCAGTGAAGTCTCTTTTGGTGAGCTAACTGTTACAAATCTAGCAGTCTGCTTGATTATCTAGATGGCAGCCCCTTAATGTGCAATTGCTCTGTCAATCTGAGAGCTACATTTTTATGAATTTTTTGCTTACATTCAGGTGGTTACATCTTGGGCAATCCTAGTTAGTTTGGGAGCTTTGAAATTTCTCCATTGGTCAGCACTGTTGTCATCATGGAAGGGCATTGCATTATCAGCAATTGGTTTGGCCGTTGTTACCGTGCTTATGCAAATCCTAATTCGTTTCTCCCAGTCAGAGCGTTCAACGCCTGCCAAGGTTGCTCCAGCAAAGCCCAAGAATGGTGGAGAACCATCAGAGACAAGACAAAACAAAGAGCAATAGGTTGCTGCTTGTTCTATTCCCAGGTCATTGCATCCATGATAGATAAGGTCGTAATTTTGTGAGCTATGGTTCGTGTAATGTGTGCCACCTTCAATTACCTATGTTTTCATTTTGAACTTCTCTCTAGTTATGTGTTCTATTCATATTTTAGCATTCTATATGCATGTGAAATTAGGATAATCCTTGTATAGACTCTATCTAAAGTGGTTGTAGGAGCAATGTTCGACTAGGTTAGTTGATTTCCTTTAGACCGTGTACACTTTTTTGAAGGTGAAATCTCAAATACAATTAAATTTTTTGGGTCTCTCTCTTTTGATTGTCTTCTCGACGTTACCCTCCCTTTCCCACCCCCTTTTTTCTAAAATATTTTCTCTTGTTTGTGCGCCCATGTAGGTGTGGATTTTCTCTTAATTGTAAAACTGACTTTTTGGGGGTAGGTGTGGATTTTCTCTTAATTGTAAAGTGGCCTTTTTTTGGGAACTTCTTAATGTTAATTTGGTTATTTGGAGTGTATTTAATGAGTTGATTTTGTAGTGCTTTTTCTTAGGGGCAGGTCAAAATCCAAAATGCAGATTTACTTGGCTCTTATTGCTGAGAGGCCATTTTGGGTGCAGAATCTGGCGTTTTTGGCAGGATATGTAATAGAAATTATTATAAGAGGATTAGTGGTGTAGAATTAATGACAGTACTGGAAAGAAAACCACTTTCCTTTCAAGGCTTTGGATTTGGGGCTATTTACATGTGACTTCCATTGGGTTTTCCCTCACAAGTTATCCCAAGCCCTGCACCAAGAGGGCTGCACCTTGAAAACAATAGCTTCTGGTCTAACCTAAAATCTTTCAATGGAGCGTCCAAATTGCCGTGGAGGAAAGCATCCGATGAATTCTTATGGTAGGTTTCTTCTGCCTTTGTCTACTATTTTCCCTAATCCTGTGGCTAAAAAACCGAGGAGCAAATCGAGGGCAACTCGTTTGAGAGAGAATCTTTTATCGTCTTTTAAATTTCCGATCGTTTCTTCAGAAACAATGAAGGAAAAAAACGATGATGTTAAACAAGAAAGGCAAGAATCAAACCCATCATCGTCATCATCAGAGAGTTTAATGAGATCAGTGCCAGTGGCTACACTGAATTTTAGGGAAATCACAATTCCGGAGCCAATTCCAGATTTTGCCGCTTTAACTCGAGATATTAGCTCATACATAAACTATTTACCAAATCTAAGTGAGAATGGAGAAGATGATGAATCAAATGTTGATGATTAAAATCATAGTATTGTGTATTGACTTGGTCTTTCTGGTTTTTTCTATGTTATATAGCTTGTTCGGCCTGGTACATGGTATCAATGTGCTTGCAGTATGTATTTGTGCTTTTCGTTTCTCGTTTTGTTCCTTATTTGATGTGTAATAAACATAATGTTTTTCATATTTTCTTGATTTAGTAGAAAATTTTGTGTACATTTGATTTCAATTTTGTTATTGTCGATTATATTTTAGAATTGAAATTTTTGAGCATACAAACACCAACACACTGATGTACTAGTTAAGATTTTGATCTTTAACTCGATTAATTATGAGTTCAAACTTACCAATACAGTAGAATTCGTCATTTCGTGAGTGTATATGAGTTGCCGGTGACTGATTTATAATATTAGTTTAGCGAATTTAACATTTATAAAATTAGTGTGGTGGTGGAGATTACAGTAACCAAATGATTTTTCTCTACAAGCTATACGAATATAATGAAAAAAATATTTCATTATGATTAGATTATCTTAATTAGAAAAGACATAATGGAGTAATATACGAAATAACATTCTTATAAAAAGAGTTATTAAATATACAAATTGATTTAATGAAACATATTCTTGAATTGTTTAGTGAAAGTTTTAGTTTTTATTTGTTAAAAATTGGTATAATGATATCTTATTTGTAAAAAAGAACTATTAGTCAGCCTAAGCTCTATCATTTACTTATTCACTTCATTCATTGCCGAAATAAAGAAGAAATCTAAGAGCTTGAAAACTAGCCTTTTTCAATAAGATATGCTTGCCTACCTCTTTTCTTGCTCTAGAGCCTTTAAACTAAGATAAAGCACTGCCTACCAGCACTATAATGGCTGAACTTTCAACAGCTAGAGGAAAGACTTCGACTCCCACAATAGGACTGGGGACAAAAGCACTATCCAATTTTCCTATAATGTAAATAGTGGGCAAAACACTTTCTGGTCTAGCAATGCAATTGGAAAGGCTGCAACAGGGAGAGCTTAACTTAAGATGTCTATTGGCTCGACTGGCATGACATTGAAATAAGGGGCTTAGCTTAGAATGAACATTGGGTTTGCTCGCTCACTCGATGCGCTTACTACTAGAGCTATTTGAGTTTAGCTTCTCTTCTCCAAGAAGATCAATGGGAAAAGGAATTAAACTGGCTTAAAATCTCAAATAAAAGAGCTTAGGCCCTTTACCTTTGACTCATCCCTCTTATCCATAGCTTGCTTGAAAGAATATTGATTTTGCTAAAGAACTAACTTGCCCATTGGCTGGGAGATTATCTAGCTATTTAGATTAAGGGGAGAGTTGGTCTTACTGTTAGACATGGTAAACATAGGAGAAACCTTATCCACGTTAGGAAGAGTAGTACTGATAGTCTTAGTACAACTTAGACCTTTCTTATTCATAGTTCTCTTATGACTCTTATACAAGCTAGCTCTTTTATGCGCTTGCCTCGAATTACTGGTAATGTTATTTAGGCCCTTCTTACTTAGCATTGTCAGATTAAGGGAAGGAATGATAAGAATAGCCTTTGCTAACTTACTCTTATTAAAATATTAAGAGAATAGATTATTAAATATAGTATGATAAATATATTTTTAAAATTGTTTATAATAAAAAATTATGATGTACAAAATCTAACTAAAAGTATTTTTATTTTCCAAAATTAAAATAAATATTTTACTCATAAGATATATTCAGAAATTGAGTTATTTTTATACCACAAAAAAGATAATTTAATAAAATATAAGTATTTTTTTATTGTAAAAAAGGGATTAATCCTAAATTACTGATACATTGTAACACCCGTGCTCGGAAATTTGGTCCAAAATAATTTTTCTATTTATAAAATATCTATATAAATAATTAAAAAATTTAATTTTATTTAAATTATTGAGAAAAAATGAATTAGAGACGAAAATGAAAACAATTTTGAAAAAAAATAGTGAAATTGAAAATAAAAAGGGTGTTTTTGAAAGAAAATTTAAAAATAAAGGGTAAAATCGTAAAAAAAAAGTTTGGCCACGTGAAACAGTTCAGTCAACAGCCACGACAAATCAGAGCATGGCGCGTGACAAAAACACTGACATCGGCACCATGCGAGAGGCCACGTAGGCGATCCGCGTGCCTATTGATCCGACAATTCAGATCAAATTTCACGCGCACGAATGACCCAAATGCATTTCCTCTACATGCGCAATCGAATGGATGAGGTTGATCGTGATGGACGGTCCATATTCGTCCACGCAATCAACCTAAATGGAAAATTATCAACGGTCTTCCTCACTCCATGTCGACTTAAACGGGTGTCTTAGATTGACTTCTCTTCGCAAAGAATCAAAACTCTAGTCGACAAATGGGTGACTAGAGAAGAAAAAGAAAGGCAGTCGAGGAAGGAACCAGACATCGGAGAAGGAGGCCGACCACCGTCATCGATCGGACTCACTGCCGACGTCAAAACAGTTTTTTTTTCCTCTTCCTGCTTGAAATTCAATCTTGAGCCTCCTTATATCTATATCAGAGCCAAAGGATCAATAGATGAACCTAAAATCGTGGGTAAATTTCGGTCGAGCTACCGTAGCCAAAACCCAAAATCCTCTCTGATGACCCCTTTTTCGTTTTCCGTTTTGCATGATTTTATGACTACCGTGTCCACCTTCCTTTTCTGGTGCAGGTTAATCGAAGAAGAACCCCAGCCGCGAAGGAGAACTAGCGAAGCCGTTGCACCCGAGGATCCCCCGCCAATAAGTTTCGATTTTTTGCCTTTCCCAGCAAATCGAGTCTTTCTAACCCATTTTTTCATAAGTTTATGCATGAAATCGACCAAAACTGGCTAAAATTGGCTGAAACCGGCCAGACCGATGTGAACCACTGCCATGGGTGGCGGAGCTGGCACGAGAGCACGGCGGTGCCATCGTGTCGAAACCCTAAAATTTGCCGAAAGGGTTTTAAAATGCCTATTCTGGCATATAATAATAATTTGAGTACGGAAGCGAAATAAAGGTTAAAGTTAACATCTTTTATACAATAACTCAAAAGTACTAACAAACATTACAGAACAAATTCTTTGAAAAAAATACGAAAAATAGAAAAAAATAAAGGAAACTATAAAGTATCTAGCATCTATTCGTAGCCTTCTTGTGGATTGGGCTCGGGAATCGGGTCCTCCTGATCTAAAATAGTTAAATAAGGGGTGGGCTACACTAGCCCAGTAAGAACATCACACTATATCACTGTCACAAAAATAAAGGTTGGTAAAAAATCAAAACAACCAATGGAGAAGTAGATTCAAATAGATTCGTTTATCATAAATGAAATCATTTACCGTTCACTTACTATTGTGGAATTTATGGAAACAATTTATAAAAGCAATAATATCATATGGATAACAATTTCATGCATAATCAGTAACATAGAACATATCATGAATTCGTATTCATTAACAATAATTGATCATCAACACTTCTCGTTTTACTAGTCTACTAGTATCCATGGGGATCCATAAGGGTGTTCTCGTTACACATGAACTATTTTTCTTAACAATCTTAATTCCATGGTCGTTCCCATACCCCGTTCGATATAAGTGCAAAGACATTAAACATCAATACTCCGTTCGGTATGAGGGTGAAGCGGGCCGCCCCCATACCCCGTCCGGTATGAGTGTCAAATGATCAAGTTTGCATACCCCGTCCGGTATGAGACAACGTTCACGGTAGGGTTCCCTATGAACCCGATCCGTCCACCATCTCCTAGGATATCTAGTGAGACTGTCATCTTATCCATTTATGAGATCATATCCCATTCCTATTTGTACTTAGTCTCCATCACCAAATCAACATAAATATATAAACAAGTAACGTGCATCTAATAATGCAATCATATCTTAGATTTCCAAAATCAAACAGTAGTCAAGTAAGACAGTAATACATGCATTTAAACCATATAATATACAAACCAGATATCATCATGCTTTTACAATGTACAATAAATCAATAGTAATCGACAGAAAATAATGTCCGATTTTAGGCTCCATTAGCAATTTGTAATTAATCAAGCACATCCATTTAATTTATACAAAAGACCATATTATTATTTATTTGAACTTTAATTCTATGATAGGAAATAAGGTGATGAGTCCTTATTTGATTCGACGTTGAAAACTAGATGGTTACTGCACCTATGAGCGATCTCTGAGTTCATTGAATTTGCCTTCGGGAACTGAAACGCGCTTACGGTACCTACAAATATCCCAAATAACCCAAAAATCAGACCCAGGGCCTACTCGGCCAATTTTGAAATTCCTGCACGGCGGCTCCGCCGTACTTCGGCGACGGTGCCACCGCCTGCGGCGGCGATCCACATCGGGTTGGCTATTTTTGGTTGTTTTCGGTCGTTTTCGACCAAATTCAATCGAACTTACACCGGCTCATACGAGAAAACACACTTCGGGCCCTCGGTGGCCTGAAAAAATGCAGAAAACTAAAACTCACTGGCGGTGGGGCTCTCCGGTGCGGCGGCTCCTTCGGCTCACGTTGCGATTGGGTGTTTTGCTTTGGTCAACCTGTAGAGAAGGAAACGGTGGTCACAACGGTGGAAAAATAACATCGAATGAGAATCGGGAAGGGCCTCATCGGACACATTTTCTGAAACACCTCGCGGCGCCACCGAGCTTCGACGGCGTTTTCCAGCCAATTGGCTAGTTCTTTCACTCCGATTTGGTCATGCGTGGGTTTAAAATTGAATTTCGTGCAAGAAGATAAATTTTTACCTTGTTTGGCGGTCGAAAATTACTCCGGTACTGCGGCGGG